TTTTTGGAATTGTTACAGGAAGATTTAAAATTTTCTCGCTAAAAATGTAAATAATGTTGCAGTTTATCTATATCTTCAAAATCTTGTAACTTTAGATCTAAAATGTGATAAAATGTGTTCTGTGGTGGAACATGGTAACTATATGGAATATATGGAGACATTTTGAACCACTAATAGAGTATTCAAGCACCTTTGAGTTTAAGACAAGTTAAAAAAATCATCAATCTTGAATTGTTATAAAGTGATCAAAATATCAGTGTACTTTCTAATATCCAGACTGTTATTAATGTACTGAGTTGTTTTGTAACCAGCTGAAGATACTTTTAATACCTTAAAAATAGAAAATACAAACAAACTATTTACCATATAGATATTAGGACACACTATAAGGGAAAAGAGCTGCAAGGATGTTATGTTATGTTCTTAACATCATGTTATGCAGTTATAAAATCTTACGTGGACTCGTTGTCAGAAAGAAATTTTATTTTAAAGAAGGACTTAGAACTCGGGAAGCACTATTATATATTCAAATTTTAGTTCAAAACTGCAAAGATGTTCACAAAGACGTTTTTCTCTGTTTTATCGACAACGTGAAACATGATAAATTTGTTGAAATTCTTCAAAACATTGATATTGAAGACAAGGAAATCCGATGCATTAAAAATTTGTACTGACAACAAACTGCGCATGCAAATATCGATGGTGATATAACAGAAGAGATAGACAGGCATATTGTCGCCACTATTATTCAATGTAAACTCAGAAAAAATATTTGAAGAATTCATTAGTGATATTCAACATGATGTGAAAGTAAACGGCGTTTTCATTAACATCAGATACGCAGATCACACCGCTCTATTGCCGATAGTCTAAGCGGCCTATCAGAGCTAGTAAGCGGGATTAACGCCACTAGCGAACAATATGGGCTACGAATAAACATACATAAAATAAAATATCTGATTTTAAACCCAAAAAATATTTATAGCAACACAAATTTAATGATTAACAATATTGCTGTAGAAAGAGTATAACATAAATTGGAATTGTTCGAAAGAGATCAAATGCCGATTAGAAATAGTACGTAATACTTTTCTTAAATACAAAAAAGTTCTTAGCACCCATGGAAGCCTGGAATTTGAAAATTGTTGATATTAACAAGCTCGAAGTATTTGAGTTACGGATTTTTCGGAGAATTCTCAAAATTCCATGGACAGACCATGTTACAAATAATGAAGTATTACGAAGAATGAGATGTGATCACAAATTGTTAACAACTATAAAAAGAAGAGCCTACCTAGAGCATAAAAAACAAAACATCCTACCTAGGACATATTATGAGAAAATCAAAATACGAGCTACTCCAAATGATTATTCAGGGGAACGCGGTATTGGTAGGAAACAATTTTCATGGCTACGAAACATTTGTCAATGGACCCAAATACGAGAGGTTGGCAGACTTATAAATATACCTAGATGTAGAGAGCAAAACGCAGAAATAATAAAAAATTTGTAATTGTGTTTATCAAAAGTTAATTAAACAATATAGTATTATGTTTTGTTATGTTATATGATCACCAATATTCGAAATCGAATTGGCAAATAAAGAAGAAGAAGAAGAAGAAGCAATTACAAATATCATATCATTTCCAATATCATATGTTAATACCATGACAAGATGTTAATAACATAACACTTTCCTCTAAGGTCGGAACAATTATATAAACAAATTCATTAAGTAAAAAATTAAAAAAATAAATTCTTAATTTCACATTGGAATAGTGAATCACGTCTGAAAAAATCACAATTTCTTTGCAAGGCTCGTAATGCCTTGCACGAATCTATTAAGGGTTATGTGAAAATTGCAAACTAAAACAGCACTGTTATAATCAAGATTTATCTAGGAAGAAATATTATAGATTGTACTAAAAGAATTAACTGCCTTGACTAGAAGTGATGTTAAGCAATATGGCTTATACCCATGAATTTATGTACCATATATTTATAAAGTAATAAATGTCCTTATATTATTTCAATTTACTTTTGTTGTTAAAATAAATGAAAGTCCTATTTCTGAGGCCTGAAATGAGTATAAAACACTAAATACGCAGGCTAATTTTTCTTCTTGTTAAGTTTTACCATTTAGCTGTTGGCAGGAACAATTTTATGAAAAAACTCTTTTTGTGCAATTTCACTTATAAAATTTTATTAATAACTACAATTGAAACAATATCCAAGACTTTAAAAAAATCGAAAATTATCATTTTCGATTAAGTAGTAAAAAAGTTACAAGGGTTTAAAGTTCGCCCAATTTTTGCGAAATTGCAAACTGCAAATTACTGAAAAACAAATGGCGGATCACGCCCATTTTGTGCATAAAGTTGTATTGTTATGTACGTAATAAATATATATAGTCTAATAAGGGTAAAAGGTTTTTACTTACGATAATGAAGTTGTGACATAGGTATGTATTATAGCATAGGTATTTTGGGCATCAAAATTTCAACTTTCTAAAAAACTTAAAAATCCGAAAATGGACCATTTTTCACCCAAAATTTGGAAGAGTTCCAGTAGGGTAAATGAGCTCAAAATAAATTTAAAAGAAAGACAATCTCAAAACTAAAGTTTTAGGAAAATTTCATTTCAATATTTCTACTGCTTCAGAAAATGTCAAATTTTGATCGGCTAATTTATGTTTTGGCACACTGTGCATCAGGTTAAATATGGAATAAAATAAATATTGAATTTTTATTTTTATTTTTATTTCCATCCCATACTTAAGACCAAAGTAGCCTAAGTAAAAATTAAAACTAAAAAAACGCAGCATACTGATCATAAACTATATTATCAATAAAAAGATTTGTATTTAATACTTTCAGCAATATATGACTCGCATTTTTGTTCAACCGAAAAGAATTTAAGTACTTTGGATGGACAGTTATAATACATTCACCATGTTGTTCTGATATATGTTCTGATATACACAACTCTCTTGTTGGCAAAGAATTAATCTCAAAAACGAAGTCAAAGAAGTACCTCCTTCAGTTATTGTGCAATGAAGTAATAATGGGTTTAGCTGGAAAGGCCTACATTTTTTTATGATCGTTTTTCTATTTATCATAAATTGTGTAAGAATTTATGGATAGTTCAAAGAATTACAGAATTAATTAAACATAAATAAAGGTATATACATATATATTTATATTGTAAACAAATAAAATATAAAGAAACCTTGTATATATATATTTATACGTGTATAACATATATAATATGTAAACAATTTTAAGATAGGTATAAATATGGATAGTAGTAGGCAGTGGCGGAGCTGGACCAACTCTGCACGTCGGCGACATCAGAATTGCGAGGCCTCATTTATACCCAGTTGTAAACTTTCAAGTTATATTGTTGAAAGTTTTATTGCTAATCAAATTAAAATAAACAGAAATTAAAAAAATTGAATTTTCCTACTTTTAGCCTCACTCAATTTTTTTTTTTAAATTATGTCACAATTAGCGCCAGCTGCTATTTTTGCTCCAGTTTATAGAATTTCCAATGGAGATAGTCTCTCTTGGATCTTCATACTTTTCTAGTACGTCTTAATCAATTTTAACTTTGAGAAGCTTCTTTCCGTCGAAGCTATACTGACTGGAACTGTGAACAAGAATCTGGTTACTATATAAACATTCGGGAATACTTCGAATATGGTAAACGCCATTATAAAACCAAATTGTTCAAAATATTTATTAAGCGCTTAGAATCCACAGTCGGTAACTTTCTGCGAGGCCCCTGTGGACGGTCGCCGACATCGCTGACGCCTAGCAACGCTACTGGTAGTAGGAAGATGTGTTCAAATACGAGTATTTTATAAGTGGCCGATTATAATAAAACTATTAATTATTAATAATTTATGTCAATATTAATTCAACATTTGTACTTTAATTAAAATCAAGAGCCGAAAGTAAATACTAAATACTAGTTAAATGATTTAAAGGATTATTATTTATTGTTTGTATTGTTCAATTTTTATGATGTTTATTATTTTTCGTTGTTATTATATTCTTTGTTGTTAGTCATCTCATGGTCTGAAGATTCATCAGACTAAACTGGCTGTTAATTGTTGGTACAATTGTTGGTACAGGAATGTGTTGTTGATAGTGAGGACTTGACACCAATAATTCGTTACGGTGTTTTGGTATTGCTTCAATTTGCTTTGATTGTATTGCGGTGCTTTTTAATCATCAATTTCTACAATTTTTATAGTGAAATCGACCCAGTTTTTTCAGAACCTTTTCTGTTTTTCAAATTCTTTTTTTATTTGAAAAATCTCCTGGATCTATCATTTGTTTTCTTTTGGGTTTAGGGCTTTATTTTCTCTAATTAAATAAGAATTTGACGATAAAGATACCATTCTGAAGTTCTTTTTCCATCGGTCGAAAGTATAGTTCTATGTATATCTCATAAGGATTTTCTTAACTTTCGCGTTAATAGGTGTCGCAATAGACACCAATGCTTTTTAAATTTTCTTTTTAAAGTTCAAGTTAACACATTCTTCGCAAGATCTTACTATTTGCTCTATGTCTTTATCGATGCATACCCAGTAACACTATATACATGCTAATTGTTTCATTCTTGTAATGCCATTATTAGTACGATGAGCGTCCTTTAATATTATACTTTGCAAGCCTTTGGATATAACAGCCTTTGAACCCTTAAATATAATAACGTCGTTTATATAAAATTCTTATTTATTTTTAGATTTTAATATTTGAAATTTTAAAAATACTAGTTATACAACAGGTTTGATTAACCTCTTTGTTAATAACTTTGTCTGTCCAATTTCTCAAATTATTTGATGTTGCTCTTGATAAACAATCCACATTTGAGTTTTCAATTCACTTTTTGAATATATCTTCATAGTCGAACCCTTGTTAAATATACTGGTCAACGGACTATTGACGGTTACAAGTTTGAAATGCTTATCATACAAATGTGTGAAGAAATCATTAACTGTAAATACTATTGCCAATGCTTCTCGATTAAATTCGCTGTAATATCTTTCTGACTGTTAGATTTGCGTCAGTAACAACAATTATAGGTCGAATGGTGTAAGTACCAAATTATTATAAATTATGCGTTTTGAGTCTTGTAAATGCTCTTTTGATTCTTTTCAATTTTCCGCATAGGATATGTTTCTGTCGAAAGATTTGGAATAAATCTTACATAGTATGACAACATTCCTAAAAATCTTTTTTCGTCGTCAGCATTTCTTGGATGCTCTATATTATTTATAGCTTCTACTTTCTGGGATGCTTTTGAGAAAGTTGTATTATCATGTTGTATTTCATAATTCAAATACTGGATCATAGTTTTGAAAAATTGACATTTACTTAAAATTAAGTTTAAATCGTATTGTTAATAAGTTATGTTTACACTCTTCAAGAGTAAATGTGGTTGATCTATACATCCAAAATGTTTCTTTTTGTTTCGAAATCGTTTGTATTTCACTCGATTCCTTGCTCACCTTTAGATGTAGATACGCTTTGAACAAATCCAATCTGTAAAAATATTTTGAACCTTTTAAACTATTTATTTACTGTCTATTTGGGAAAGATGTGAACATGCAAGGCAAAGTGTCCGATTGCAATTACCTTGTTAATTGCCAGCGCGATTCTTTCTTGGAGAGAAATCTCCAAGTTGACACACAGTTTCTACGTGGCCCCTTCTGGATAGCAACAATTATCCGTGCATAGTGAACTAATGTGTACAGCAAAATCCTCCTTATAGATATATGAGGTTATACGTCGGGCTTGGAACACACCATAGAAAAACACCATTCCAATGAAAACAAAGAGTCAATCTCAGATAAGGAAACCGTTTACTATTGACAACAAACGTAAACGATATAACGAACATGATTTAAGAAAATGAACCTAGAATGTCCGAACTCTTTACAGAGAAGGTGCATCTATACATCTGATTATTGATCTCAAGAAATATAAGGCTCACATTATTGCCCTCCAGGAAATACAGTAGGCAGAACAAGAATGCTCTAAACGAGAACATTGTGAGAGAAGGCAAGAAAAGAGATTTTTTCAGCCAAAAAAGAAAGAAGCAAAAAGACGTGAGGACGAATAGCTTGAGAAGATGGGCGACAAAAAACTAACTCGAAAATTCTATCAAATGGTTATAAACCCGGAATTATTTCCTGCAAAAATCAAAATTGTAATCTCATGATTGATATCCAAAGAATGCTTAGAGGGATCACTGGTGAACCTAGAGCAATACCACCAGCTTCGTTAAAATCGGGAAGAATCTCTGAGAACCGTTTGATACCAAACGAGGTTTCAGACAGGGTGACTTCTTGTCGTGTGACTACTTTAATCTAATATAGAAAACGATAATCCGAGCAGCAGATTTAAATCACTCTGGCACAATATTCTACAAAAGTATAATGCTGCTTGCGTATGCCTATGATATTGATATCATTCACCTGATCACCTGCGTCGTCAGTGCGGCATTTTTAACGCAGAAAAACAAATGAAGCAAATAAGTTTTGTGGTAAGTGAGTAGTAAACAAAGTACTTTCTGTCAACAAACAAATCTGCAGAGCATCTTGGGATCCACGTCACTGTTGACAATTATAAGTTCGAAGTTGTGAAAGACTTTTTTTATTTAGGAACCAGTTTAAACACCAAAAATGACGTCAGCCTAGAGATTTAACTAAGTAGGCAATTGAGAAATAAAGCCCTCTCTCGACAAATAAAAATCACATTCTACAAATCTCTTATCATGCCTGTCCTGCTGTATGGTACAATTACCAACAGTGATGAGAAGGCGTTAGAAGGATTCGAGAGAAAAATTCTTTGGAAGCTCTATGGTCCTTTATGCGTTGGCGACGAGTATCAAATTAGATGGATATAATGTAAAGCAATGCATGCATGTAATACATGAATTGTTCATCTAAAAACATTGTAATCAGCTTAGAAAAATTTACGGAAAATTTCTAAATAGTATTAAATATCTTACTAGGTTATCAAAAAAATTATTTTTGAACCAACTTTATTATTTGTAAAACTAAAACTTGATACTTTTGTTATCTTTTTATTTATGAAAATTTCTACACTACATTACCTTAATGATGCACATTGAGAAGGTGTTGAAATTCATTTACAAAATTTATAAAAAACTGCAGATATGTTTTTCTAAAACATTTATTAATGTGCATCACGATTTACTGAAGATATATTCGTAGTTTAACTATAAATTTTAAGGATAACATTGCAAAAAATAGTTCGTGCAATCAGCAAAATCCATTAATCACCCATTCATCTTTTCTTATAATTATGATTTAATACAAATACTTCTTTAAAAAAAATTTTTTTTTGTTACTTTTGGTAGATTCTAAAAAGTAATTAATTGGACATTATATTGATATACTTCTTTTGATTATATAAATTCATTATCTACCGTTGAGGCCGAATGTACACTATAGTGTGAAGGAATATTTTCGATGGAAATATTAAAATGTACTCTTAATCAAGTGCTGTGATAGAACTTATTATCGAGCAATTAAATATTTCCCTATAATTTTGACTAAATTTGACTAAGTTTTCTTTTATGAAAATAATAAAAAAATAATAATAATTACTTTACAAAAAAATCTAGAAGAATACTTCTAAAATTTGTCGGCTTTTAATGAAAAAACCCACGTGGATATAAATTTTTGGACAAAGCCTGTCACTAACGATTAACAGAATCCCAAAGAAATATGCGCTTGACTATTATTAGTTATTTAACAAAAACAGAAATTAGCATTCCATTAATTAGTATAATTGCTAATTCAATATACCCTTAGAGTTAAATTATTATATATCAAAATTCACTGCACTCTTAAAGATAAAATAATTAAAATTAAATAAATAACGATTAAATGATGCCCAATTGGTACCCAACTGCGTATGAGTGTTATTAATAATTTATTAAAAATAATATTCTTTGGATTAAACGTGTAGCATTATGTATGTAGCTGTCTAAATTATTTTTAAATTTCTAATTTTATTAAATTTAACCGCCTTAAAGCACGTGAGGGGTAAATAAATACATTTAGCGGTATGACATGAACTAAGAAATTAAAAAGAAATACTAACTGCAATGTATTTATACGAGTGCTTAATCATGTTATACAAATATTAGAAAAACATTTATCATGTGAATATGTTTTAAACTGTTTCGTACAGAACTGCAAATCAATGATATTCTAACAAATAAAAAGAATTTTCTATCAAATGAAATGGTTTGGCAATTGCTAGAAAAATTGTTGTTATTGTTGTTATTGTTGGAGCAACCTAAAATCGATCAACGATTTGTGCTCTTCTAGAGTTTAATTTTATTTTATATTACAATTTGTTTTTTATATTCGTAGTTGCTATTTTGCTATAGTTGCAAAGTTTTTTTCCTCATGTGCTATTAGATAACAAGTTGAAAAAAAATTTTTTTTTTGAGGCTACGTTTTTTAGTTCTATTTAATTTCCTATTTTTAATATTTTACTGCACTATTTATACTGTATGTGGAGTTAGACACTCATAAATATGTGAATGTTACCTGAAATAATTATTTTTCAAATTACAAGTGTTTTTTTTTAGTTAAAACTAATAAAATAAATAATAATAATATTCTACTTTGAGAAAAAGAAGCATAACTCACCTTCACCAACAGTTTAGGCGATGTGTCTGCTGGATTTGGACGTTTTATATTTAAGTTCATATTCCGCACATCAGGACATTTTTCGAACATTAAAACACGCTCTGCGACGGAACCACGCGTCAGTATAGGACGTCCTGCTATTTATTTCATACATATATATATATACATATATTTAAATAATATTTAATTGGCATTTAAACACATATAAAATATTTAATTTTTATTTACAATTTTTATCCAAACCATTTGTTAATGATCTTGTTGTCGTTTTTGCTTTTGTTGGTGCTGGCATATTTGCACGCGCTACGTCCATTACGTTTTCCGTTTCAAGTAAATTGGCAACACTGATTTTGTTATCCTTTTCTGTTTTATGGATCGCTGTTGCTGTTGCTGATGCTGATGCTGATCCTGATCCTGATACTGCTATTCCTTTACTACAATTTATTATTTTTGTGTTACTATTATTGATATTTTTATTATTTTCCGCAATTGCTACTGATTTAGCTGTTACCGATTTAATTAATTTATTAGTACTTTTCGTTGTTTTATCGTCCCCTTTTGTTTTAGTACTAATTTGCTGTTGCTGTTGATCTCGCTGTAGCTTCTTATTATCAGTTGCTGTTGGTGACGTTGTTGTTTTAGTTGATGATGGCACTGCTGCGGCCGCTGCTGCCGCTGGTGTTACTTGTGCTAATGCTAATTCTGATGCTAATGTTGATGACACTGCTGATGCTGATGCTGTTGATGTTGACGTTGATGTTGATGGTGGCATTAATTTTGTAGATGCTACTTTTGTCGCGACTGCGCTGCCGTTGCTCTTTTTGGCAAAATTATTTGCCTTTTTATCAATAACGTTGCTAGTACGTGTTGTAACGGGGGTGGTGGTGGTATTGACTGCAACATTACTGTTGCTATTAATTTTGGCATTTTTTTTATTGTTTACTTTATCATTATCAATTACTATTGTTGTCAATGTTGGGCTATTTGTTATAGTTTTGGTAATTGCTTTTGAATTTGTTTTATTTGTTGCAGATGCTTCTGAACCTGTTGCTGCTACTTTGCCTACTGCAGTTGTTGTTGCAAGCTGTGTGGGTGTTGTTGCAATACTCGATTTGTTCGTTTTTTTTACAATTTTTGTAGAATCTGCATTTTCTTGCAGTAATTCTTTGATTTTTAAAAGGTTTTGCGTTTGAATTTCCGTTAAATTTTTAACGTCCAAATTTAAGTCAAAATCAAAATTTAGTTCTAGCGGCTTCGTGCTCAAAGAATTGCCATGCGTTGTCGGATTTGTTATTATTTTCGACTTTGTTACACCACTTGTACCGCCAACATTGCCAATTTTTTCGGCAACGTTTTTGTGTTTTTCGTATGGTTGTTCTGCGGTTGTTTCAACAATTTTAACGCATGCGTTGTTTTTTAAAATTGGCGCTGTTGAGACTGTTGTTGATTTTGTTGTTGCTGCTGCTGTTGGTGTTGTTGTTGTTACTGACTTTCCTGCTGATCTCTTATTATTAAGTAACATATCAACTTCATCAGTTGCAGCAGCAGTTTGTGTTAATAAAGTTGCTGTTGAAATCTCTGGTGTTATTGCTGTTGAGGATTTTGTTTTTGACGTCATTTTGCTTGTTGTGGCTATTAAGTTATTGTTCATTTTCATTGTCGTTTCTTCCGTGTCTGTTGATTTTAGAATTGAATTTTTGCTTTTGGTACTGCTATTACTATTATTACTGCTGCCACTGCCGCTGCTGCTGCAGCTGCCACTGTTGCTTTTGTTATTATTTATGTTTTGTTTGACACCCCTTTGCTCTTTGTCTTTAATTACGAACGTATTGACAAGCTTTTGTAGACCCTCTGTGCTTGTTTCGCTCGGATCAGCTACAAAGAAGTCGTCTGTAGCCTCTGCTGCAGTTGCATTCGTATAAAAATCAAGCAATTCTGTTGGAGCTAAGCCGCGACACTTCCACGTACGATATATGGCATCAGCATGTTCTGATATTTTTTTCGAAATCTCTTCAATTTCATTTTTAGGATCAACGTTTGTATTAATTTTTGTAGATTTTGTTGTTGATTTGAGTATGACTGACGTACTTTTCTTTCCTGACGTAGACGTTGATGCCTGCATTTTTTTTTGTGATAATTCCTTTTTTTTTTTAATGTAATCGTTTTTTTAATCCTTACTCTTACTTTCCTTTTATACTTATAATATTTTTATAATATGAATACATATATATATTATTAATATTTATTCTTTGTCACATTTAATAAGAAATTATTGCATTTACTTGATTTTAAAACACAATTACTCCATGCATTTTGAGAAACTTGCAAAATTTTTTATAAAGTTTCCCTGCCTTACTTTTCACATTTTCCCCTCAAAACATGTACTACATACTTCGTTAAGAATAGCAAATCTATTTTTAAATATAAATTTCCTATTTCGTAAAGATTTTGTGCTGTTGCTTTCTTGTTTCAAATTTGGTTAATTTCACTTGAACTCATTAATAATCAAATAATTCTTCGAAAATAATTAAGTTAATAATATTCATCAATTATTTCTTCTATCTTTATATTGGTATATTAAATAATAACAAAACTTATTTATATATAACAAATAAATGTATTTAAAAATATTTTTTTCACGCTTTCAGTAAAATTAAATCCGTAAACGTTTCAACAGCCTTACGCACTGCTCGAATAAACTCTCGCCAAAAGAAAAACAGACACACTCAGAATTATTTTTATGCACACTCGACTATTTTCTATCGGATTTAGTATCTATTGACTACTGCAGCGATTTGTAGACCTGCTCGTGTTATTACTTCTTCACTATCTCTTTGGAAAATATACCATATTCTAAATAAATTCAAATGTTAAGAATCTATACTCAATTCATTTTCTGTTAGTGAAAATTCATATAATGAATCTCCCATTGAGTCATAAAAATTAAAGAGATTTCTATACAATCCTCATTTATTTTCCTCTGTTCTGAACTCTTCTGTTCTTTAATAATAATAAAGTGAAAGAGATTTCTTATGCTGTTGTCTTCAACTCTTGAAAAATATTGTTAATCGTTTGTTTAAAACAAGATCCAAACAATTTACATCGATGATACATTAATACAACGCATCATTATAGGTAAATAGATATGAATGTAGAATACCAATTTGAAGAATGTCCATAGTTTTCAGAGTAAAGCTTTGGTAAAGCCTTGAAAATGAATACAAATGTGAAAAAAACGCGGTAAATTTTAATATATATCTTTAAATATTATCTCTGAAAAACATTTTTGTGCTGTCATGTCTCAGCTCTCAATAAATATACCTTATTAACCTATCCACTCCAAATTGTACAAAAAAAAAAACAATCAAAAAATGTCGTTGTCTGTAGTAAAAACCGAGTATAAATTACAGTTTAGGGTTAATCTACTTGGCATGAAACCCGCTTAAAATTTCTTTATGATTTCTTAGCCGCCAAGCTTCTACATTTAAATTTGTTGCGTTTTTTGTATATAGTCACTATCAATCCAATTAGCAATTTACTCAGAATTATTATAATTACTTTTCTATTAAATATATTTTTAACTATTAATATTAATTCCAGCTAGTCCAGCTATTGCGACTAAAAGGTCAGAATTACGTCAGGTCAGAATTTAGACAGGAGGGTATTCAGTGTAGAAAGCATCTAGAATCAATTAATAAACTACATTAACCAAAATTTATTTTGCTTCCCTTAAAGTAGAGTTTTTTCAGAGCAATAGAACTATATCGACGTTTGACGCGACTCTCCAAATTTTCTTTTAAGACCGTTGAGATTTTTCCTTAAAATCTTATTCAACACTTCTGTCCTTTTATTATGGATTTTATATGTAACATATTTTGAATATAATTCTTTAGAAATGGTATTCTACTTTTGATTTCTATAACTTTTTTGAGACTACGATTAAACTTCCAAACACACATTTATCTGTAAAATCGAAACTTGATCTAGAAAAAAATATTATTATTCCTCTGTACTGCGCCATCCTGGCTAGAAGTGATATATATAATTTAAATTTAATATATATAATTTGTTTAAAAAGTAAATGAAGTGATTTTTATTTGAATATCACTCATATCACTCGTGTTTAGCAAAACACATGTTTAGTGATTTAAAGGTAATACAACTAACATTTGATATTCTTTTTGTACAACAATTATTATATTATGGACACTGTGTTACTAATCAATAACCTAAACAAAAATTGTTTGCAAAGTGCTAACCGCTACCAAATATCTTATTTACATTTTTATTATTATATTATTTTATTCACATTTTATTATTATTAACAATAAAAATTCTAACAATTTTTGTACTTTAAATCGATTTTAAATCATAAATAACTAGTCCCTAATAGTACATGGGTATATCAGCTATCTGTAATACAACTAAGGCTACAGGCGCTACAGTAATTTCTACAATACAATATCTATTTCGAGAATATCTCTCGAGCTTCTCTTAACGAGCTAGATGTCAGTGTCTAGCTCACATGGGTACGAGGACACAACGACATCTCGTGCAAATGCAAAGCAGATGAGCTTACCAAGACAGTCACTCTACTACCTTTCATTCATTTGACAGAGCTTTCATCGTGCAAAATTAAGGACTTGACCAAGCTTATAGAGTTGTCAGATACGCTGACCTGTAGTCTCCGTATGAACAACGCTAATCGTGCAAAATTAAGGACTTGACCACGCTTATAGAGTGTTCAAAAACGCTTACCTGAACAACGCTAATACCTGTTTTTTTTTACAACAGCCCACTCCAATCAAAACTACCCTAAAGCATTCTGTAGATTATGTAAAAACTACTATTCAATTCTGCGATTGTCTACCAATGCTTTTTATAGTAGTTTTCATCTAATTGAAACAACAATTAGCATGTGCGTACCCAGGGCCGAAAGGACATTTTGAAATCTAGGGGGTGAGCGCCCCCAGCCCCTACTTTTGTATGCCCATGACAATCAGCAACAATACTATGAATTGTCCTGAATAATGAAGTTCAATTACCCAGAAATAATGTAAAGAGCTTGAAATTATACTAAAGCTTACTTCTAATCTCAAAACTACTTTTTTAGTAAAGTTGTTATTTTGTTAAAGAAATTTAAGAAATTCAATTTTTATTTCGAGCGTTATTTTTAGTATATTTCTAAATATACTAAAACAAAAGAACCGTACATGAAAATTACTAGTTCTAAGCCTGGCATTGACAGTCCAAACAAATTATATACGGACTATAAACTAATTAAAAAATTCGATTATTTCCTAACATCACTGATGATGAATACTTGGCAATACTTGAAACAGCGTTGTATGGTCAGCCAGTTGTATCGTCAATAAATTAAAAATAAATCTTTGTCCTTGTCTTTTCTTTGCTTATCGAATCTGCCTAAACAAAATTTAATTTTAAATGAACTGGCAGGTAAGACATCTAATATAAAATTTAAATTTGCAACTTTATTTTTTTTAATCTTTTAGAATTGACTAGATCAGGGCTGTCCAAAGCGTGGCCCACGGGCTATATATGGCCCGCGACATCTACAACAATTACGCTTATTTTTTTTGGTGTACTGGTAAAACTGCATTTTATTTTTATGGTATACCAAATAAAAATAAATGAGTTTAAATTAATAAATTGATAAAACAACATTTAAGATGATAATCGTATTTTTATTTTTCTCCAAAACAACTTTGAACGTATGTATTTGTTTCTGCGGCCCTCCAATCTGTATATTTCATAGCCTACTTAACACTTATATTTAAATTAAAATAATTTATGATTTTACCCTTACCCATCGTTTTTAAATATCGATTCTCAAATGCTTTTGGAAAATGCTTAAGCCAGCTGGAAATTGGTTATGACTATTTCTGTCTTCACAATGTCAAATATTATTATTTATTATTAAAAATAAAATAAAAAAACTTATATACGTATACTATATTCAACAAGAGCATTGAAGTACGAAACCTTTGAAATGAAACGTTGGCATTGGCTCCACTTGCTTCTTAAGATGGCAGAAAACCTTAATAATAGAAAATATTGTATATAACGCAAAACGACTTATAAATACGTTTTGTTTAAATATTTATATTTTCGTAATTATTTATCTTTTTGCTTTTGTAGTATTTTCAAAATATACGTCTTAGACATGTGTCTTTTGCTTTAGTTAATGTTTAATTAAATTTAACCCTAAAAATGTATGGAGAAAGCTGTTCTAAGTTGCATTCAAAAACTATAAAAAGCAGTGCAGGCTGTGGTACGACTGCAGGTTATACGACCAAGTCGCCGCGTATAGTCCACTCCAGTGAAAGGAAAAATATTTCAAAACATTGGAAGTCGTTAAGAAATGAGATAAAATTTTAATTTGTTATTTATTTCGTAAATTAAATATTTAAAATTTTTGAATAAGTTATTCATAGAAGTATGGAGAGGTGCGTTGGTGATCTTTTAGTGCTTTTAAGTATTAAAAAAGTGTTTACAATATTTAAAACAAATATAAGATTTTATTCAAAAAAAAATTCAAATATATTTTTTGTGTTTTATATAAAATAGTTTCGCATCGCAATCCGCCTTCGGGCCACACTTTGCGGCTCTATCCAATGGGTCCGTCACAGATAAGGTCGGTTCTAAAAACTTAATAAAACATGCACTCAAGTTTTACATTAATCCGAAATTTTGTAGGTTACACCCGACATGGCACATTTAATTCATCCATACTGGAATCAATTTCCAGCTATGGATCCCATTTGGGCTAAAATTTTAACTTTCTATATGATCTGTATTGGTTTTATTTCATGGTGTGGAAATGGCGTGGTGCTCTATATTTTTTCAACAACAAAATCCCTACGCACTCCTGCAAACCTTTTGGTTATCAATTTGGCAATATCCGATTTTGGTATTATGATTACAAATACGCCAATGATGGGAATTAATTTGTACTTCGAGACCTGGGTGCTTGGTCCTATGATGTGCGATATTTATGCTGCCTTAGGCTCTGCCTTTGGTTGCAGTTCAATTTGGTCGATGACAATGATCGCACTTGATCGTTACCAAGTTATTGTTAAGGGTGTTGCGGGTCGGCCAATGACTATAAAATTAGCTTTAATGAAGATTGCATTCATTTGGGCGATGGGTAGCATATGGACTCTAGCCCCTGTGTTTGGCTGGAGTAGGTAAGTAATAATACCTAAATAACATGTCAAGAATATAATTGCAATATATCCTTTTAATAATATTAAAACATAAAATTTTACAACTTTCTTAAAGTTTCACTGATATATCTGATATATTGATTAGATTTATTACCTAATTTAAATTATTTTTAATTTCACATATTTGGCACAAACATACAGATATACAAATAATTTTTATCCGTTTTGAATTGGATCTAAATTGAAATATATAGGAATGTTGCAATAATTTCATTGATATATTATAATTAATATA